GCACCTTCACAGCCCCCAGTCTGGGGGCCCTAAGTATGGGAAGCCCCTGCAGGGTGGGCTGTCAGTCTTCCATGGTTGGGCCATGTTTGGAGGATGCTTTGGCGCTGCCCCAAAGAAAAAAAACAAGCTCTCTCCCTCTCAACTCCGTGGGCGAGATCAACGTGGACGACTGGGTTCCAGAGCTGGGACCCCGCCCAAAAGAAACGCAAAGAATGCAAAGAACAATGAATGTTGTTGACTGAAGAACCTGCTTTGCCATCGTGAAACAGCGTAAAAGTATCGTTTCTGGGGACTAGGAACTCTATAAGAATTCAGTTGGTCCCCACGACCTGCTTAGGGTTCCAATCAGCAAGTGCTACACTCTCGTGGCTTAAGAGTGCTGGTTGTTTGGCAAAAACACTTAAGATTAATTATACCAGGACCCTCTAAGGGGTGCCCAATGGAAGCCTATAGGTAGTCTGGGGTAGTCTATTGGACACCCCGACAGGAGGGTCCTGGTATATGATGATTATATTGAAACTCAAGATATTTGTATAAGGATTATATGAAACTCATGGTTGTTGCTTGGAATCCCAGAACCTACCTGGCTCAGTCGTCCTTCTGCGGCCTGCATCTGAAGCGTCCACCGGTGCGACGCCAAGTCGTCCTCGGCGAAGAAGCAGCGCCAGGCAGAACCTGCCGCGACGCAGAAGTCGACGCAGTCGGGGCAAAGGGAGCGTCCCAAAATTCCAGCGCTGATCGAAGTTGGAGCATCTTCTTTTGGGAATGAGGGTCCAAAATCGAGGTCACGAAAAAGATCAGGGTACGAAAATGGGACGTACCTTTTGGAGATGCTGCTTGGAACTTGGGGCCCAGTTGGCAGCCACGGAAAGCGGCCCCGTGGCACAGCGCTGCTGGGGAGGGAGGGGACCAGCTGCAGCTACGCGGCCGCCACGTGCCCCAAGCCGCCAAAGATGCCACAGCGATGCAGGAGTTGAAGGTGATGACCTCAGGCAAGGGGTCGAACAGTCGGACTTCTGATCGTCTTCACTTCCTGATCGTCCATGCACTCCGTCTTCCCACAAACGATCACAGCCTAAGAGCAATGGCCTCCAACCTAATAGAGGGGTCGATCCTTAGTCTTCTCTCAGCTGGGTCAAGTTCATGACGATTCTTCCCACAAGGACTGGACTCGACTGCCGATTGGTCAACACACCCTGTCAAAACTTTGACAGTGTCAGCTTCCTTTGCAGAAGATTTGCAGCTTTCGCCTCCTTTCGCCTCAAACTTTCGATCCTCGTTGTCTTGTTGAGTTGCCAACTCAGTCGCTCAGTCGATCCGACGGCGCTCCCCGGACCGTCGCTCCGCGCATCCGAGCCCCCCCGGACCGTCGCTAAGCGCCTGCGTGTCATCTCACAGCACCTGAGAAGTGCGCGGAAGGAATGCCACGGGTGGAAGTGGGTTCCACCCACCACCCGGTGAATAGAACGGAGCACCATGCGCCTTCAGCCACAAGACCCTCAAGCTTCGAGCCTCTTTTTTCATGCGAGGACTCAGCTTGGATGAGACGTGTTGGCCCGTGTTGGCCCGTGTTGGCATTATTTCTTCCCTCATGAAGTACTCGTTGTAGAATCTGTTCCCCCAGTCGTCTGAGTATGAGATGACCCTGTTGCAGAGTAGAATCTGGAACTTCTCAGCCGAAGGCACTTGACAGCTGCAGTTGCCCAGGCGCTGGTGGCCTGCACGCGGCGCTGGTGGCCGCACTAGGCAGCTCAGTCTCATCAACAGGCAGTTTCACCACACACCAGGCGCGTTTCGTGGCCCGCAAAAACTCCAAAACCTTGGCACGAAACGATCCACTTGATGATTCTATAATACCCAGACGCTCCAAACAGCCCTTGGCCCCTCAAAACCTAGGAATTGGTTCGACCCCAGACCATCCCAGACCCCTCCATATGAGACCCCAGACCTGGGTAGATTAGATGTAGATCCCTTTGGATCCCTTTAATCCATACTAACATGTTTTGTTACTAGTAGCTTAATTGTTCCTAGTAGTACGGCCAGGAGCCCCGTTCGTAGCGTCCGAACACTCCGTTCGTAGCGATGCCACGAGCCCCTAGTACCAGTAGCTTCTTGTTCCTGCTCTTCCTTGTAAAAACACCAACCCTGGTCGAACGTCCAGGACTTCGACCGAGAAAAGGATGCTCTGGCCCCTTGGTGATCCGAAGGTCCACCTTCGGCGACATGCCGAAAACCAGGACCTGCCACCGAACCCGCGAAGGTTTTGGGGGCGTGCTTTTGGAACGCCGCCATGGCCGCGGTGGCGCGTTTTGCGCGAGGGGTCGCACGCGAGCCGGGGTCTCCCCAGCTCCGGGCCCTCGGACTGGTTCCACGCAGGACTCTCCGCTCCTCGCAGGCGGAGATGGCGGCGTTGCTGGCGGCATCGTCCTGAGACCTCCGAACAGTCGTCGTATCGCGAGGAGTCGAACCTACCGAACAAGGTGGGGTTTGGTTCCTTCCATTGCTGGAATTGGTTTTACCTGGAGTGATAGGAGATTCTCAAAGGGTGCAGCCCGTTGGTTCAGAACTTGGGACACCTTGCGATCATCGGTGGACTGTGGACGCCGCTCTTTCAGAGGCTGTCGAGCATGCGCTGACATTCCAAAACGCTTTGACATGGACGATTGGCTGTGGAGCAGTCACTATGTGGAAGTCGGTGCTGCAAAACATACCAAGAGAGGTTAAGTGACCGTAAATAGGACCTTACTGCGGTACCGAACTGGGATAGTCTAGTTCAGGTCCTTCAACCTCTGTTGGTATCCAGAATGGCCATGCTGGACCAGTGCTGCATGGCAGTGCTTCCCTGAAAACGTCGGATGTCAAGCCGGTGCCCGCATGGCATCCGAACTGAGTGCCCCCCCACCCTGTTTGGCCGAAGCCGTCACCGGAGCCTTCACCGTGGGTGGAGTGCTCTGCCCACGTCTTCCGGCGTTCCAAAGCAGTCCAAGTGGCACACCCAAGGAACTGGCGAGGTCCACCACCGACAGGACCATGGCCTTGCTAGTGAAAGTTTCAGAATGGGTTTCAATTGCATTCAACTACCAGGACCTTCAAACAGGTTGTTAATGGACACCTCTTAACCTCTAAGGGGCTATCAATAGACACCCCTTAGGGTGTCCCGGTATAGATCAGACATGGTACTCTCAGTATAAATTTGCCAAGCTAGAAGAAAGGAAACACACACAAGGATGTCTCAAGTCCTGATGAAAAGGATGAACCCACCTAAAGAACCTCCTGGTTTCTGCATCTATGACCTGGTGAGTTCTAGGTTGATTATGTGGTGGTTGTATTTTTGTAGTGCCTGTCACAGGACTCACGGCAGTTGTTTCCTCCGGTGAAGGGTTCAAAAACACCCGACCTCCCAACAGCCGACGACAGAGTGTTTTCATGAATTCCATCGAACCAAACAGAGTGTTTCACCCGCATAGGTCAAAACAGCGAAAACCCTGGTTGTTCTCCCACCAAACATGACAAACCCCATGGCGAATCCTCCGCGGCTCCTCCTCTCTGAACCGCAGGGGTCCTGACCCGAAGGTCGAACACCGGACGGGCGAGGGTTTTCTCCCAAAAAGCTCCACAGCTCAAGCGCAGTGGCGCCCGTGGCCCCACCCACGACGGGAACCCACGAAGCTGCGCTGGGCACCCAGGAAGCTGCGCTGCGCGACTGGGCAGACTGCGCCAGGTGCGTCAGAGAGAACGGGTGAAGCCGCAGGCCTCCAGCGCGCGCCGCCTGCGAACTTGGTGAAGCTCCGAGAAGGCTTGTGTCAAGTACCATGATTAGGAACATGTTGGAACGAACTTACTTAAGTGCTTCAGGGAGGTTTCAATCGATTTTGCAGAGGATCCGATTGGTCCTTCATCGGTTGCCCTTATCTACCATTCCGCTTGAGCGATACTCACAGTGTTGGTTTCGTCTTTGCTGCATGCCCAAGTCATAAAGCAGCGGTAAAATTCGTAGAAACTGAGAACATGGACAATGCTGTGAAACCTGGCTAGCTGGAATCACGCACCTTGTCTTCCCAGACGCTCCTGGACCCTCATATGCAGGGGTCTGGACCCGAATTGTTTGGAGCGGTCTGGACCTTCTCACCAGCCCCCTATGATTTGGTTCGGGACCCTATCAGGCTGTTTTCACGGAGCGTCTGATCTTCTACATGGGGGGGATGGTGGCCTGTCAGGATGCCACTGTGGGGTGGAATGAAAGATAAAGTGAGCTGAATGGTTGATCGTTTCGCGCCGCCTCATATGCCAAACTGGATGATTCGGGATGTGAAACCTTTTCGCCTGGCCAAGGCTGCAATGAGTGACTGAGGGAAAAAAAACAAAAAACAGCAACTCATAGTAGGCAGCACTCGCGTGCACTCGCCTTTTTTTTCGGGCACCATGTACCGTGATGCGGTTCCACAAACTCATCATGGCGGGAATGAAACAACAGATCTTCACTCCCGCCCGTTCGGGTCACGCAGGAGAGGAGGGAAAGAACACGAAAAAGCCGATTCAGAGCCCACCAACAGAGGTTGAAGGACCTGAACTAGACTATCCCAGTTCGGTACCGCAGTAGGTCCTTATGAGGTCGGTCACTATCCACCTCTCTTGGCAGTCATTGGTTTCGCCGATCGGGAAACACATCCGACCGCCGACCGATCATGACGAGGTGGTCGCACCGGTCGCACGGCGAAGGTCGCTTCGCCTCGAAGCGTTGGGCCGCCCGTGCCCAGGATCCGTCGGCCGAGCGCGACGAGCTCATGCCTGGGACGGTGGTCGTGGTTACTAGGCATGGCCTCCAACTAGCTCGGCATGGCCTTCAACCTACCTAATTACTAGCCTAGTGGCCTCCAAGCTTATACAATGGAGCCGGCGCGCTTGGCGCGGGCACGTGTGGCTTCGCCACGCTCGCTTGGCGCCCCAGCCGCCCGGCGCCCGGCGAGGGAAGGAGTGATGTTCGGTGCTTCGGTGTGGGGTCGGGGGAAAGGCCTCGTTGCCTCGTGGCGTCGAAGCCTCGATCAGGTCGAATCGGGCTGATCAGGTCGCTGAGAAGGTGAGTTGTAGCTGATCAGGTAGCCTGTGGGGCGTCCAGGTAGAAATCCAGGAGCGTCAGGTGGCGTGCAGCTCCACTCTAGATGTTTGTCTCGCCCGAGCCACGTTAATAAAAGGCTGGTTGGTGCCCCAGAAAAACCACAGGAAAAAGTGAGAAACCACTGGAAGATCCATTTGGACCATCTGCGAAAACCAGAACAAGATTGATTCGGTTTCGTGACCAAGAAACGCAGCGTGGTTTTGTTCGGGGATTTCTACTCGTAGCCTGAAAAAGAATGCAAACTCTCCAAACCTAGTGTTCATACCGGACGGGCCCTCTGCGACAGGTATTTTGGTTGTCCCAATTCTGTCCTTTCTTTTTCCCGTACACCGGTGTTTCACATCTCTCGGTTTTCCCTTGCCAGGCCGCTGACGAGGTCCTTTCGCACCAGTGCCACCTCCATGTCCTTCGTGAAACACACCCGACGTGATCTCACACGCGGGCCGTTCCAACCCCAGCGAAAGCAGCAGACTCTTTGGAACACTGCAGACTCGATGCAGCGTCTTCGGAAAAAATGAACCATTATAACTTATATAACTACTATTCATCATTCATCTTATTTCATCTAAAGAACTTCAATGCTTCGCGGAAAGCTAATCGCGTGTCATTCTTTCGCCTCTAACTTCGCCTGGTGCAATCAAGAAGGCTTTGAACTAGAATCCCAATCAAGATGTCTTGCAGGAACACAACATCCAACCGAATCAGCATGTGTTCAAGCCATTTCAAGCACCACAGAAGCACGTTCCCCGAACCCAACTCAATAAAGGACCTTCTGCTCTCTGGTACAACCTATACATCCCTGGCTTAAAAACCAAAAAAAGGAAACCCTCCAAGCGTCTCTGAGAATCAGCAGGGAGCTCTCCCAGTACTTGTTCCCCACGATGCCGGCGTTCCAGACCTCGGCTCGGACGGTCCAGATCCGACCCGCCGGACGGCGACCCCGTTCGCGGGGGTTGGCCCCGCATCGGGCCGTTCGGGACGGGCTGTTTTCACGAACACGGAGCGTCTGGCGTGTGGGAAGGTTAGAATCGTGGTTCAACCCCTCAAGACATGTAAAACGATTTCAAACCTTGGGGGGGGTTGAGATATAAATTCTATACGTACTATATTATGTGTAAGGTGCGCATTTTCACACGTGTGAAAAGCCTGGGCACCAAAGAAGTCAGCTAAGACAAAGAAAGAATAACTATATAGCTCTACCAGCAGTCACAAAGGGGTGCTCAATGGAGGTTAGGGGTGCTCATTATCCACTCACTTAGGGACTAAACACCACCCCTTTGTGACTCCTGGTATATGGCTATCAAAACCCAGATCTTCCTTCGTTCGGCCCGGGCGGCGCCGAAGCTTCCGACCAAACAAGGCACCGCGGTCCGAAGCCCTCGGACCCCACCCACCTAAAGCCCTCCCACACCGGCCATACTCTGCACTTGGTGGGTGGCCGTCCGACACTTAGAGACGTTGCGCGTGCTGCGTTGCTATGACAGGGACTCCCCGGTGACTCCCCCTCATGCGGTTGAAAGAAAAAAACAGGAACGCCTGGAGGACTCGACCCAGCACCATGCAGGGATTGGAATGAAGTGTTCACCAGCAAGGTCGCTAGGCCCAGGGAAACGTCCCACTATAGACAAGGTCGCTAGGGAAACGCTCCTTGCATTCCAACAGACCAAGATCAGCGTGGTTAGTGATGGCATTTTAGTTCAACAATCTGACATCCTTGGTACCTTGAACATCACTTTCGAACGTGAGAGCAAAAGGGTTGAAAGGGCCAGCACTTAGAGCTAGAAAGAAAGAAAGAAAGGAATGACAGAAAGAAAGAAAAGAAAGAAAGAAAGAAAGGAATGACAGCACCCTCCAGCCAAGACGTCCGACACCGTCCAACATTCCATCCTTCTGTCACCTTCCAACATTCCAGTCGTCCCTCTCTGGGGCTTCACACCAAGACTTCCAGCTCCCAGTTCGCACGACCTGCGCGTCCGTCTGAACCGGTCTCAACCGGTCTGAACCGCTGTCGGTCAACCCTCCACCGCCGAGTCACAAGAGAGGTGGAGAGTGACCTGAACTAGGACCCGTCACCTGGGGTCAACTGGGATAGTCTATAGTCGAACTAGGGTCATCCAACCTCTGTTGGGTGAGAGTGGTCGAGGTGGAATCGGATCCAATCTACGAAAAAGGGGCCATCCGGGCAGGTGCTTGTTCGCGCGCCGGCCACCCCCGCCCTGCAGTCGCTTGAAAAAACCCGACAGGACCTTCACCGACACCACCGGAACGCGCCCCTTTGACCCTGTGTACGGCCGCGGCCCGGCGCCTGCGGTCCGGCTGGGCGAGTTCCTTTGGCGCTTGAAGACTTGAAAGGCCTGGCGATTGATTGCGAGTGCGGGCAGCCGAGTGGAAAACACCCGTCTGCTTGGGCCACACACCCCTCGGGGAAAAGTCGAGTTCTGGAGGTTCAAATCTTTTCTGCCACTTGGCATCACTTGGTACCTTGTTAACACCTTTAACATCACCAGAGTGCGGCGGCTCTTCCCAGAGAACACTAAGACTTCAAGTGCTCCCTAAGTAGTCGACGCAAGTGTAATACCCAGAGTGGCTCTAAGTGCCTGATCGAAATTCAGCGCCCCCCTTTCCAACCGCTGCAGGATCTCCTCCACAGGACCGCCTACGTGATGCTCACTGCAGCCACTCATCCAAGAACACCGCGCATTTGTGTGTGTACGGTCGCCCATCTGTATCTCGTTGGACTTGTCCTTTGTCATTGTGGAGAACAGGGACGGTGACATTGATGGAATCAGACTATGAATTCTTCACATTTCAACAAGAATGTCATAAAAACCTTCACCGAAAAGAAAATGAGGGGTATACAACTGGCACCTGTGCATGGTCCAGATTTGGAGAAGGCTTCTTGCGGGTCTCAACTGGGTTTCAGGTCACTTTCCTCCAGTTCAGCCCAAGTGTCCAAGAACATCTACACGAGATGACCAGCTACTTCTCATTGCCATTCGCTTGTTCGCAGGAACAACTGTTGAATAACTCACAGATTTGCCAACCACAAGGAAGAGTCTCACACCCAGACCACAAGAGATATACCCAGTTTGTTTTATCTTCTACACTCTTAAGGAGGGAAAGAAGCGATCATCGACCTATCTGGGTGCGTTTACTGTGTGTGTGTGTGGCGCGCGTCGCGTCGCCTCTCGCCAGCGACGCGCCGTGGCCAGCGAGGCTAGGGCACCTGGGGCACAGCAGAAGCGCTTCTGACAGTGCAGTGGAAAGGCACCTTATGAAGACCATCGTGTTCGACAGATTCCTTGAGATCCAAATTCCATCTACCTGGACTGCGTTGGACAGGTGCTTCCGAAATGACCAACAAATGCCCAGAAACGACCTGTAAGGGTTCCAAAAAAAACTACCTGTTGCAAGGTACTGATATACATGAGGCCATCGAAAAGTGCTAGTTTTCGGAGCGCCTCACTGGGCCTTGACTGGCCTGGCCTCACTGGCCTCCGCCTACGGCCTGACTCGTTTGAAAGATGCCTTTTCCTCACCCTTTGTAGCTTCCCAGACAATCCATTTCAACCAGTGACGGACTTTGAGGATCACCACATCACACACTAACCAAAGAAGAACCTCAGAAGGAAACCTCAAAGGTACCTCAAAGGTCTATCATTTTGAATTACAATAAATATTGATCCACTGTTCTGCTCCCGCGCGGCTATGACATGGACGATCCAGCCTGCAGATGGCAAGTCCTGCACGATCCGTTGCCACTGCCCTGCCGTGACGAGGGCCATGGGATCCCAAGACGACGCATGCAGGCTTCGCAAAGCCGGAGGGGCTATGTTAACCCCCAAAAACGAAGCATTGGTCTTTGGAAAAAGGGAAACACGTTTCATTCCATCTGTCCATGTTTAAGCGGGACTTGCACTCAATGGGGAGGTTTACCGAAAGAAGTCCATGTGAGGCTTCGGCAAGGGTGTTTACGCATGAAAGCTCACCAGGACCCCGTGAAAGAAGAGAAGAATGGTCTTCCAGGCCTACGTGCGAATCTCTCATGGACTACTCATGGAGATGATTCCAGCGAGTGTACGTTCGTTCCACCAAGCTGTCCAATTCCTTCAAATTGGCCACCTGGTGGCGCTATGTGTCTTTCGCACCGTATTGCAGCTTTCACAAGAAGAGCTCCGCCGTGCGAAAGCATGCCCCGAGTCGCAAGGTGGCCCCTCAGTCGCTCCCCTTAGTCCCACCATCACGTGACTTCTTTTGAGGCATCGTCACCATGTGTCATCCATCGACAGAAAAAACAAAAGATGAGGGAGGGCTAGGCTACGTTGCATGCATTTTTACTTTTGTATCATGGTGATGTACAAACATTTGTATCATGCTTAGATGCTGGCCAAACATACAAAACAAACCAGACCTTCAAACCGTCCGAATCCGGCTTCGATCTTAGAATCGATTCCTGAAAAAAAGCACCCCGTTACATAATATATGGAGCTGAGCATACGCCAATGTCACATGGATTCCGATCAAAAACACCAAGAATTACAACTCAAAAGGCGGAAACGCCTCACTTTCCAGGACCTCCCCTTGGGCCTTTCACCCTCGTCCCTCCGCGGTGCGCCCCACCTGGCGTTGCCCCGGCCACACCACCCAGTGCCAGCGAGGTCCGCCACTGCCAAGACCTCCGGGAGGTCCGTTCGCCACGGGCGAAACACGGCTGCGAAGCATGAAAGTCAATGCTCTGTCTTCCAGTGGTCTGTGTTCCAGTGGATATGACCTGGTTCCCTGACCTGGGAACCCCTAACTTGTGAATTCGAAAGGGAACGGATGGTGGATGGTTTGCTTTGGGGTTCGTCGACACGGTCGACCAGTCTCTTACCATCTGTGTCTGACCTGGGAAAGCTTGGACCCTTCCGGCGCCAAACAGAAGTTGAGTACAGGTCTAAGTGACCTCAAACCAGAGGATCAAAAGGATTGAGTAGAAACCAGAGGATCACCAGGTTGAGTAGATGAAGACCTTTTTCCACCTTGGGCAGGACTTTCTTCGGCCCATAAACACGAGTCATTCGTTGCGGAGAGTCGGGTTCCCCTGGTAAGGGCCTCACTGGAGATCGAGGAAAAACCTGGCAAAAACACGCGCACCTCTTGACTTCACTTTCGAGATCACCCCAATCTCCTCCAAACTCTTGGCCCCCCCGGGACTTCGGACTTCTCGCCTCGCCCCAAACCGAACCCATCGACCAAAACGACCCAAACTCCCTACCGCTTCCCTTTGGGCGCTCTCGACCGACCGCCGTCGCACCTGGCGCAGAGCAACGCCACCGGCTCCACGCGCGACGAGGCGAGCGCCACGAGCGCCAAGGTCCAGGGCGCCAGGAGAGCGTTCCGCAGGCGCCAAGCGTGGTGCCAAGCGTCAGCTGCGGCGCCTGGGGAGTAGTGGTGACCGTGGGGAAGATCGTCACCTGGGTGGTCATTAGAGTGGTAAGTTGGGTGGGTTGGGTTGGAACTGGTTGAGGAAGTGGGAAACAAGTCGTCTTGTAGTGAGCCACTGGCAGTGAGATTGAGAAGGGAAGCTATGGTGGAGGCCATCGCTACTAGGTTGGAGGCCATCGCTACTAGTAGCTTCTGGCATTACTACTATAGTAACAAGGGCATCGCCACTAGAAGTAGTGCACTTAAGGAAGAGAGTAGACGACCTGAGACACCAACGAGTGTCGTGCGTGCCAGTGTCGTGGCAGAACTTCATTCTGAATGGGTTGTAATCAATCCCCACTAAACCATCCATTTGAGCTTTTTGGTGAATAAGACCGACCAAAATAGGTTGCAAATCGACCACCTCGCCATTTGGTCAATAAAAGATGTAGCAGCTGCCCAAGTAGTTCACACCTTCTGCCAGGGCACAGGCACGGGCCACCCTTTCGTCCAACAGGGCGTCACATGCTCGTTCAGCAGATCTGCATTCAGCTCAACGCAGTGCTTTCGTCTACGGCGGGGGCGAGGAATGGTGAAGCGTTACCGGATGAAACATCTAAGGGCTGAAGATGAAACATCTAAGGCATACCACCAAGTGGACTATCTGAAGGGAATCGTGGACTTGGTGGGACAACTCCAATCTCGGAGTGGGTCGTTTAACTATCTAACGTAGACGTGTGGTGGGAGATCTGCTGATAACCCAATGTTGCCCATTTGCTCTGACAAATTCTCGCAGTGCGTGTTCCACACAAACAAGTTGTCAAAGCTCAAACTCAAAACTGTCAGCAATCTGCAAAAGTTTCTGGCATGCGCTCCGCACATGTGTCCAACTGGCATGTGGGAGATATGCAGCTAATGCAGCTATCCCCTGCGACACACATCCTTACCGAAATCTGCTCTGGAACTACCAACTGAAGAACTGCAGAGAGCTCTGTCATCTACAAACCGAACTTTGAAAAAATAAGAAACTATATACTCATCGAATTGATTGAGGCATCACTGCATCACCCCTATCCTATATGTGCTCCACTTCTGTGCTGTTTGTTTGTTCAAAACAAAACCAAACCCTTTGCTTTGCCGCCCAGTTCCACCGCCCGCCCACCGCGCCGCGACTCGCTGCTCCACGGAACTCCGGCGCCTCGTCCGGATGGCGAGGGCCTGCGTCCAGGTGACACCACTGCCCACCTCAGGTGACACCACAGCGTCACATCCCAATGCAGTTGGTTGGAAGAGCGTTTTTCGGGATGAACACCAGGGCGGCCGCGGGCGTTGGGTGCAAGGACGCTGCTGATGGAGGAGAGGAAGCCAAAGAACCCCACAGGCCCGCCCTAAAATGTTTGACCCATTATAACTATATCTGGTGGAGACCCATCATGCCAAGGGAACATCCACGCATATCGACACCTATCGCAACACTGCCCCCATGTCCCGAGAGGGTGAGCAGGTGCGTCACCGATGTCACCGTGGTGGAGTGAAGAACAACATGGGCGATGCAGATTGGTAGAGTGATTGGGTCCAGTGAGGTGACTGCTAGTCCAGACATCTGGAGAGATGACGGATGACTTCTCACATTCTCAGTCAGACTGAAGGGGATGAGGAAGTAAGAAATGTTTAAAAGAAGAAAAAACTCTACACAGGGCTCAATCCCATGCAATCCCTGTGATTTGATGCCTTGACCCGGCCTCCACACGGCTCATCCTTTCTGAGTTCCGGTGTCCTGGGGACCCAACAAATCCCTTGATTCCGACTCGACCCGAGAGAAGCGTCGGCCATGCTTTTCTCGCGTCTGGCCCCACCAAGGTTCGTCGGCTTCGACGACGAACGCATCGACTCACGTCACCGACCGAACGCTCTGTGACGAGGAGAAGACACGGAAGTGACTCATGGCTTCTGGCTTCTGAATTCTGGATTAAAACAGATTAAAACTGAACACCTTTCAAGCCACAATGCCTTTCTGAGTGATTCCTCTTGGCCACAATGACCAGAATTCGCCCTTTCTGCTACATGATGGCTACATCAAGTACCCCATGTCCATGAATTTCCCATGGCATGTTCCATGTTCGTTGTGGACATCTCTCATGTTAACCAACGACACTTCAACCCCCCCGTCTCCAGAATTGTTCTTTACATCTCCAGGCTGCATGGCTTTCGGATGTGAAGATTTGTGAATCGACCATCAACATGACACCTTCTCCGGTTCGGATATTAAATGCTCTATTTGTTGTGACCACCCAATAGAATACACACCATTTCTATCTCAAAATACGCTGGACCATCCTGTCATCCTGGTCTTCTCGGATGCTGGTATTCTTCGCGTTCCCCCAACGCCCCTTCGACACTGCCAGGCCACCACAGCCGTCACATCCTTCAGGTCCGCGCGATCTGCCCAGTGCAAGGCACACCTGGAGGAGGCAGGTCCCCCAGCATGATCTGGAGGTTTCCATGGAGTCTGCCGGTGCTTTTCACGTGTCTTTTTGGGGGGAGTTGTTAGGGGGGTTCTCCAAGCCAGGAAGATGATCACCATCTTCCAACTTCCCCATGGTGTGGTTTCAAAAAAGGTACTTGCTTTCGGGCGATCAGAGTTCCACACCGGAAGCCCACCTCCACCCACCCCATCTCCACCCACTTCTGCCCGTTCTGCCTCCAACGCCTGGCTTCTGCAAAGCCCCGCACCGCGCTGCCCACGGCCACCGCATCGCACCGGAGGCCCCGCCGCCGCAGCGTCAGCGGCACGTCCACCGCGTGGCGCCACGCGCGCAGCGCGGTGCCTGGGGCGAAGCCCGCTGACCTCCCAAGGTTGACCTGGGAGAGGTAGATTGTTCTGTTCATGCTCGGTGATCAACCAGGGTGTTCTTGTGTTGACCCACTGCCATTTGGGGACTGGCACTGAAACGGTTGGAGGGGGGACTGGCGCCTGGCTCTGTGGATAAATGTCTGACAAACTGCGCGTGTTTTGTGTGGGCGAGGACGCTGCTTCTGCACTGATGATCAACGACTCCTTCAAGAGCGCTGTCGGGCGGGTGAAATCCACTTTATGAATTAATATGGATCTGTCACTATCTGCGGATCTGTCACGCTCAAACGTCTCAAGTGTCTCAAGTGTCGGCCCTCCACTTTTCTCGGGAGTGAGCTGAACGAAACCCATTTTGGTACAGGGAAGCCACACCAGAACTGCTGCCCAACCATGGAACTCTCCGATGTCCGCCGCGTCTCGCTTGGAGATCCATGGGACATCTCTATACCGACCCTCCGCCCGGCGCCCGGGCCCTACGCGCGAGGTTTCGAAGACCAAATGATCAAAGGCCCTGTCAAAGGCCTAGATGGCCTCAAGCGCCTCACAAGTGAGGCACTGTTTCAGGGAAACCATTTTGAGCGGTTCCCCAATCCAATCCATTAGAATGAAGAAGGTTCTCCAATCCATGCCTTCAGTCCGAAAACAAGCCTTCGCCTCTTCGGGTCAGGCCACTGACCAGGACCTCGTCCAGCTGCAGTGCAGAGCTTCTGGCCGTGGCAAGCACTGTGAGAGCACCATGCCATCGGTCGGGCCATCTGTTGACCTGACGCGAGGCACTGCTGAGTTTGATGTTCATTGCATTTTTCAGCCAATCTATTGAAAGAGCGCAAAACAAACACGGAGTCAATCTTCAGTTTCTACATGAAAGTCCACTAAAATGAAGGTGTGCTTGCTAGAGGTTGAGAAAAGACTATGCTTTAGGGTGGAATTCCACATACATGTGCTTTCTGGGTCCCAGTTCTTCTCCAAGGTCAGGAAAACCTATAACCTCCCTTTGCCGGTTCCACACACCAAAACCTGGAAGGGCTAGTCACCCCTTGAAGAGCTACAAATCGAAATTCCGGGGGAGTCTACCTGGAACCCCAACCAACCAGAAACAGTTGGATGTTCCAGTGTGGCAATTCAGGTCCGATACATAGCAAGTGGTTGTTTGTGGCTGTGGCATCCATTAATTTCTGGTTGTTTGGCTTAGCTTGGGGGTGGACTGGGGGGGAAGTAAGGGTTTCCTCTTTTGTGTTTTTGGTGGTGCTGCTGGTGGTGGTATGCGCAGGAAGATATGCAAAGCGGCCACCGGCAAAACCACACGCCGACACCAGCACGCCAGCAGCACCCACAAAACGAAACGCCGATCCAGAGCCAGCACCAGCACCAGCAAGGCAACAGCGCCCGCAAAACGACAGCACAAGCGCCGGCAATACCAAAACACCGATCCACAGCCAGCACCTGCACCTGCACCAGCATCAGCACGCCAGCAGCACCCGCAAAACCAAAACGCCCGCAAAACCAAACCGCCGATCCAGAGCCAGCACCTGCACCAGTATCAGGGCGGCAGCAGCACCTGCAAAACCAAACACCGATCCAGAGCCAGCACCTGCAGCTGCACCCGCATCTGCACAGCAGCAATGCCTGCAAAACCAAAACCCCGATCCAGAGCCAGCACCTGCACCCGCACCTGCATCAGCACGGCAGTGGCGCCTGCGAAACCAATACGCTGATCCAGAGCCAGCACCTGCACCTGCACCAGCATCAACACGGCAGCAGCACCCGCAAAGCCAAAACGCCGATCCAGAGCCACACCATTGAGAAGTTAGAGCCCCTATAGTACTATAGCCTGCAGCTATCTGGGGAAAAACAAACAAAAAGGAAGGGAAGGAGATCAAAAGTGCAATTTGGAACCCAGCCTCCACCAAATCCACCTGGCAGAGAAGGAGACGTTTGCGCACATGTTTGCAGCGACGCCACAACTAGGCCCCGCACCACAAACGATCCCTGTCAGAACGAGGATACGTCGCAGCGTTGGGAAAACGTGTAGCCGACTCAACAACATTATGTAGCTCAAGCTGGTTTCAAACACCTGCCTTGGGCCTTGCGGCGCCAGGATCCTCCATTCAAGAAATGTTTGCAGAAGTCTTCTTGCCCCACCCGACCCGCGCAGGCGCGGCTGCGAGGGCAAAGCTTCTGGTTTTTTCCAAAGCATGTGCTGGAGTCAGGTCTGATCAAAACTAGCTGAACAGAAACTTCGCTCAGCTTCAAACAGCGGTATGGTCTTTTCAGCAAGGCCCAAATAGAACTTGCAATGTAGCAACATTTAGAAAGCTTACAAAAGAAGCGAAGCCTCCAGACTCTACCCCTCAGAGCTCTCAGCGCTCGAAACCTCCGCGCCATCCTCAGCTTTACGCCGGCAGCATCTTCAGCCGCAACCCCGTCAGCGGCAGCGCCTGCAACCAATCTTGCAGCAAACAAAGCTTGCTTGAGGGCGTGTTTCGAAGGCACGCCTTGAAGTTGAGCACAACAAGTTGTAAGACAGATCAAATGGAAAACCACCCTCGCGCAGCATGGGAAATAATTCACAAGGAAAAACGCTCCCAAACGCCGTTTCGCAGCCCAAAGCTGTGTTCTTGTCTTTCAAAGAAAAACTCGAGTCCCACGACCATCCGAAACTGTGATTTTGCCTTTCTCTACTCGACTGTGGCGCAGAGTCCTTCCCTTCTTCCAATCCCTCGTAGCACAGAATCCTTCCTATGAGCCCTCATAGCACAGAGCCCTTCATATTCGGGGCTTCGTAGCACAGGACAGAACCTTTCTCTCTTTTTTCGCACCTTGAAGAAGGATGACTGCAAAATCACAGTTTCGGGAGGGCCTTGAAAAAGGAGGATTGCAAAATCACAGTTTCGGGTGGTCGTGAGCTTATTTCTTTGAAAGGCAAAAACGCCGTTTCGCGGCCCAAAGCTGCGTTTTTTGCCTTTCAATCAAAAAGCTCGAATCCCACGACCACCCAAAACTGTGATTTTGCCTTTCTCTGCTCGACCGTGGCGCAGAGTCCGTCCCTCGTAGCACAAAAGGCCTCGTACACGGTCTAAAAGATCAGCCCCGCGACCACCCGAAACTCTGATTTTGCCTTTCTCTGCTCGACCGTGGCGCAGACTCCTTCCCTTCTTCCAATCCCTCGTAGCACAGAATCCTTCCTATGAGCCCTCGTAGCACAGAGCCTTTCATATTCGGGGCTTCGTAGCACAGGACAGAATCTTTCTCTCTTTTTTCGCGCCTTGAAGAAGGATGACTGCAAAATCACAGTTCACAGTTCGGGAGAGCCTTGAAAAAGGATGACGGCAAAAATCACAGTTTCGGGTGGTCGTGGGCTTTTTTCTTTAAGCTGCGTTTTTGCCTTTCAAAGAAAAAAAACCAGCCCACGACCACCTCGACCACCTGAAACTGTGATTTTGCCTTTCTCTGCAAGACTGCGGCGCCGAGTCCTTCCGCTCTTCCAGTCCCACGTAGCACAGAATCCCTTCTGTGTGAGCCCTGGTCGCGCAGAGTCCTTCTCGCGAGCCCCGCACAGCTCCATAAAGGCGGCATCCCAATTTGATCCACTCACTACGGCCCCTATGTTGGGCTAGTTGGTATTGCCGCACCCCGACGCATGGTGTTGAGTGTTTTTGGGGTTCGGACGGCTTTGCGTCCGCTTCAAGAAATTCACCGCGGTTATATCAACCCATGGCGCTAGATGTGATTCAGTTTTCAAAGCAGGATTCGGAATGTTTTTCTTGTCAACACCCCTTTCCAACTGGCGTCACTGGCGCCTGCTTCAGCACTCTCCCTGCTTCAGCCTGCTTCGGCCCCTGCTCCGGCGTCCGGGGCCTCGCCGGCCTCGCCTGGCGTGGATGGCTTTTTTCGTGAAACGTCGGTTCGCAGGGATTGCAGTTGAATGGGCCGATGTGTTTTGATCAGGTGCATCTGCATTTGAGAAGTGGAATCTCACAGTTGGGTTGTCATTACAAAGAAACGATATGTTTTCCATCTCCACCACCCAAAAAACATATAGTACGTATTGTTACGTAGAAAACCTTAGCGCTGCTGCTGGAGAACAGCTTGAAGCTTGAAGCACGTAAAAAATCAAGCGAAAACCTCTGGATTCCTAGCGTTCTGAAGCAAAACAAAAAAGAAGGTTCGCACAATGAATCCAATTTAAAAGACTACAAGTGTCATAAACATTTCACATTTCCAGACACCACTCCCACAGTTCAAGGTTCAGTGCTGGATTCCATCAGTTCCAGTGATTACAACCGCAACACCACGATTTCCACACTGTAAACCTCAACACCGCACCTTTTTCCAAATTCAGGTGAAAAACACCGGTTCCGACGAACTCCGAATCAAATCCTGGTGCGGCAAGAACATCCTCACCGCTTCTCTTTCGTCTTCTCTTTCGCCTTGCGGTGAATATGTCCAGTGAAGAGAAGTGCGCGTATGGGCGCCAAATGTTCGTGGCATGTACATGTATGGACTTTGGATTCATATCGGTCTGATCTTTGAAGAGGCTTTGCAATCGCTTCAATATTGGGTTTGGGTGAGGCTTTACTAACTTACTAACTACCAAAACTCGACAGTCGACTTGGAATCAGTCTGGTCACTGGTATTACTGCTACCCCCTTGTCTACGAAACCTGAACTGAAGTGAGCTGCACAATTGTGCTTGAAGTGACGAAACTGGAGCAACCCAAATCCATGAACCGGTTTTCTCCAGCTCATGAGCTTGCCTCCAACGGCTTTCTCCTTCTCTGCGCGCTCTGCTGTCTTCCCCTTCTTATTAACCTCCAGGAAGGGTTCTGGATTGATTCGGAATCGAAATTTCGGAACCGAAAGTTAGCGAACGTCAAGAACCGAAATGTGTTAGGAACCGAATGTAACAACCGTCAATTGTCCCAACACAACCGAACCGAAAAGAAAAACGAACCGTTCCGCTCCGTTCCGAGGTCAATCAGCAAAGCGCTGTGCGACGTTTCTCTCAGACTGTCCAGGGTCTTGGAGTTTCAAAGCAGCAGTCCCCCGGCTTCAGGTGCATTCATAAAATGCTTTCCTTTCCTTTTCCTGTTCCTTTCCTTTTCGTTGCTTTCCTTTCCAATATGCTTCTTAGACGGCATGGAAAAAGCATATTCACAAATTGCACTCCTACCTGTCCATTTCCATTTCCGTTTCCTTTCCTTGTCGTGAATCTGCTTTTTCCAGGCAATCTAAAAAGCATATTGAAAAAGGAAAGGAAAGGAAAAGGACAAGGAAAGGAAAGGACAATGTCAAGGAAAGCAAAATTGCATACCTTACCTGTCCTTTTCCTTTGCTTTGCTTTCCTGTCATTACTTTTCCTTTTCTTTGTTTTCCTTTCCAATATGCAAAAATGCTTTTTGGAAGGCCTGGAATATGTTCACAGAAGTGCATTCCTTCCCCTCGCTTTTCCTTTTCTTTAGTTTTTTCCACATTCTTTTCTTTCCTTTCCTTTCCTTAAAATGATTGCTTTCCTTTCCTGTCATTTCCTTTCCTTGTCCTTTCCTTTTTGCTTGCCCTTTTTCTCCTGTCCTGTCCTGTCTTGTCTATAGTCTAGTCTTGTCTTGTCTCTTTATCATTGCCTTTCTTTCTTTACCCCACTGCGTAACTTATGCCTCACAGAACCGCAACAAACCGTGAACCAAACCAAAAGTCCATGAAAACATACTTCTACAACCAAACCGGACCGATTCGAAGTTTCAATTAGATTAAACATCCAAACCGATTCCAACCGAACCGAAACCTTACTGGCAACAACGCGAAATCATGCACATCTGTGACGACAATTCAAACTCCTGAGAAGCCCAAGAAGCACCCGACTCTCCTCTTAGTCAAACAACTGACCCCCCCGGCTTTCAGCCCATTGAATTGAATGGACTCTCGAGCCCTGGTCCTGTCAATTCTTCTGTTCCATTGTTGTCGAAAAAACAATGCCCTGCCTTCAGGAGCATCTGGCGAAGTCGCTTCCTTGCGCTGGCAGTATACGGGCACACATGCGACGGCAATGTGGAACGAAATCGTGCCCATCTGTTCGAACAGATTGTTCTTTTAGTTCATGACTCTTCTCATTCCATGTTTGTTGGCAACAACTTGAATCTTGACTCCATAAGAGATCATTTAAAATGCTGTAACACGCTGTCATAGCAAAGTATTGGACTTCTGCGGGATCCAGGTCGGTGGCTCATGGTCCCTCGATGGCCGTCGTACGCCGTCGCGTCCCTCAAAACCGTCCTCGCACATTGTTATAGCTTGTGTGTGTTCCAAACTTGTGAGTTGTTCCTCTTGTGGGTGTGGGTGTGTGCGTTTGCTATTGTCCTGGTTGATCACCCTGGCCGCCAGTGAGCTGGCCGCCAGCAGTGGTCTTGTTCGTTCGGGCTGGCCGCCAGGAGGAGTCCTTCTTGTTGCTTGCGTCTGTTCCAAATTGTCGCGTTTGCTCATTGCCGCAAAGCTGCCTCCCACTGGGGCTGTGGAAGGCGCAGCATTGCCTGCAAGTCCAGCCCCAGGGTTATAGCAGCAGCGTATGCTGCTTGCGGGGACACCTCTGGTTGAGGTGGTGGTGGGGCCTCTTCTGCGGCTGGTGAGGGTTCTGTGGGCTCCTCTTTCACATGTTCTGTGGGCTCCTCTTTGATGTCTGCCAACATGTAAGGATCTTCTCCAACACAGTCAGCTTCATCCTCTGGAAATACCACCACATCCTCCTTTTGTCAATTCAAAGCTTGAGAAATTGGATGTGAATGTTCCATTGATGACACCATGTTGAGCTACGGCTGTGCTCTGAATCATCATCCAACACAACCTAAGTCCCTGCCAGCGAGCATGAATGCCCTGCTAGCGTTGCCAAAAAGAAACCTCGTGGGAATAACACAGCAGCAGAGTAGCAAGATTCAACATGTCCCTGCCAGCGAGCATGAATGCCCTGCTAGCGTCGCCAAGAAGACCCATAGTAGTACTAGACTAAATCTGTATTTTCCACAATTGCTCAACATGTGCCACAATGTGTTATAGGATGCAGTTCCTGCCAGCAAAGCAAAACCCAACAGTCCTCCGGGCGCCTGTCGGAGCGGAAGAAGAACAGCCAGTAACAGCAGCAGCAACCAGCAGGGAGTAGCAGCAACAGAAAAGGGCGGACACCAGCAGTGACAGACCATGAAAAGAAATGCTATATTGCCAGCGGAAAAGGGCGGACACCAGTGACAGACTTGGGAGACAAATGAAAAATGAATAGAAGTGCTACATGGCCAGCGGAAAGGGGCGATCAAACACAAGCAGCCAGAGCGCCGGCGTGTCGCCCAGGATCCGTTTACCTGTCTCTTGTCGAAACTGCAAAGCTCTACAAAAAGACAGCAAAGCCCTGTCACCGGATTTGAGGTCCGGTGGATGCTCATGATAGGAATCCCGTGAGAAATCTGCAACCGCTCTCAACCTGCCGGTGAGGCAAGGGTCCTTCACGGGTCAAATTGACTGGCTTGACTGGTTTCTGCTCCTCCTCAGCACGCGGACTTGGAATCGGGCTTGCCTTTGACGGGCGCAAAGGTTTCTCTACCTTGACATAATACCCCACTCGATCGAAATCAGTCCCACCCTGAGCATCGGATATTGGTTCAAGAAAATATTGACTTAATTGAAAAGTATCTGTTTGATTTTTGCTCTGACTTTTCCATTTTTCATTGTCTGACCTATTGATTCTGATTTTGCTTATTCTATTGATGTTGATGTTGACTTTCCTATTGTTTTTGACTTGGACTTTTCTATTGATGATATGGGTGGGGCCGATATGGTTCGATATTTTCGGCCGGAGTGGTGGATCATATGCTATGATCTGATAGGGCTCGATATGGTGTGGCCAATTTTGTAACAAGCCTCACTGGACGCCATGAGCTTGCGCCCGGTTGTGGCTGGCTTTGCTAAGTGGCATCTGAGGCGAACCGAGATTTCAAAATCACAAGCTGATGACAGCCCAAAAGCGAGCCCACTGAAAGGAAACAGTTGAACATCTTTGGACCCCCCCCGACCACCTCGCACTCGAACACCAGCCTCCACCCACTTAAGGGTCTCCCCCGACGACCGATACGCGCGCAGCGCACGGTTCGTAGCTTGAAGGCCCATCCTAAAGTTTCCTGATGAGTGTTGTGTATTGTACAATAAGCCTGGCAAGCCCCAACCGGCCCCCCTGTCAGTCCAAGGGTTTAGGTTTATTAGGGATTACACCCTGGAAGTTTAACATAGAACATGCACAATGACCTTTGGAAGAGTATGTTCCTTTACTTTACGACCAAGTGGTTTTCAGGCTCCATGTTGATATTCCGGACTAGGCCTACTAATTTAGTTATTCATCATCATCATCATCATCATCATCATCATCATCATCATCAGCATCAGCATCAGCATCAGCATCAGCGGGATGGGTTGATTACGTTCCCATGGGCCATGGCCCATATATAGTTCAGACTGGTTATGCACCCTATGGGCATGAGGCTGATGAGGGACCGGGAGCCCATCCAACACTCCCCAGCTAAGTTGGGGTTCCAGGTAGGAGTCTAGAGGGGGGGTGGATCTGTTGCTAGATCTTTCGGTAAATCTTGATTCTCCCTGCCATGAAGCTCAAACCGCCAACCAGGAGTTGTTGCACAAGTGACCAAAATCACTGGGTTTTAAAGAAACCACTCCCTAGTTGGGCGAACAGAAGAAGCTGGAAGGCTGGAAGTACCCACACTCAAAGGGCCCAGAGAGATCTTGGCATCTTGGAAGCAAAGTAAGGATGTGACAAGACCCCACTGAGACACCCCTTCTGTTTCCCCCAAAAAAGATGTCTCGGAACATCTACACTTTCCTCCGAAGTCAGTGACTCGGCTGAAAGACAGCATGAGGACCATGATGTGCTTCCTTCCCAGATGATTTGAAGGTAACTTGGCGCGAAAATGGGCAAGTTGGTCTTGATATATCTTGATCATCCGTGTCGTCGAAATCCATGACGTTCCCTTTTCTTGTCTTCCTTGTAGAATGATCTACAACAACTTGGTCTTTGACTTCGAAAAGCGGAGACAGGGAGCTGAACAAACTGTCGAATGTCCAATTCTGAAGCTCTTAGACATCTCGCAACTGAAACCCTTGCAGATGGCAGCCCATCGGTTCATGAACTACAGAATACAAGGATGTGTGTTGGTAAATGAAGAACTGTTCTTATTCAGTTCATTGACCACACTTTTGGCATCGAGCTCGATAGAAGCCTCGGGTCCCTAGGATTGCCCTAAATATAAACGATGCATCAGTCAGTGAAATTCTTGTGCTTAGGGCTGTTGAATGACTTGGGCGCATTGATTTGGCTTCTTGGGAAGTGGCTTGAGGTGAAGTCATGGCCTCGCTTTGCTCGCGGTGTCACGGCCTTGTCCCTGAGGATGGCTTGGTAAATGCCCAAATGTGGTCTAAGGCCTGTCGGCTCAGCGAATCTTCAGTGACATGGCATCAGCATGATGATTTGGGACTCAGATGGAAACTCAAACCATCAGGCTCAGATTGGGTGGCCAATCACTCTTAGGTTGGAGGCTTTCGCTAGGAGGTTGGAGGCCATCGCTCTCAGAATGGGTGGCCAATGTATGAGAAGAACCATACACAGGGCTTGCTGACGAGGGTAGTCACAGTCGCTGTGCTTATTCAGTTGCAAGAAGCAGACACCTATGGAGACCCTCTAAGCTTGGTGTCTCTTACACTGGACATCCCCTTCTGTCAACAAACAAGACCTTCTCCAGAAGGGGCTTCACTCATAGGGGAAAACACCAATTCACCTCAAGCAAAATCAGGATCTGCAACCGGTCAGTGCCCCAACTTGCATCAGCACGGCAACACCATGCAACGCCGATGATAGTCAATTCGGAATAGATCTCCCAGCTCGTCCCACGCCATCGACACAGACATGCTATGGAACCGCCCAGGTGTTCAATTCATGTCAAAATCACATTTATGTCTAATGTTCACATCCCAAAGGTGTCTTCCTTGCTCTTCGTTCCCTTCACACATAGACCTTGACAATACACCTCTTACCGAAGAAAGCCGCTTCTGAAAAAAGATGGGGCCCTTCGAATTCGCGCAATCAAAGGTTTAAAACGGACGTGTGAATCAGTTCACTCAGTGCCAACGGGCGTGAATCTGGCCCAGCTGAGTGTTGTTCCATTTCCATCCTGGGCCATCCTGCTCCCTCCGCTCGCTCCGGAGGACCGACCTCCGCGACCTCTCCGCGACCTCTCCACCCGTTTCCACCTCGGAGCCCCATCCAGTCCAGCGAGGCGGTACTGAAACGCCAAATTCGACTGGAGAGGAGAGAGCCCATGGTGATGAGGTCCTGCCAACCAACGAGTGAAGCCCCGATGTCTCCGGGGTTTTATGTGCGTTGCCTCGGTGTGTGGGGGGGAGTTTCCAGGTGCCTCGAGAAATGGAGCCGAGGCGTGAGAAGTTGGGCTTTCGTTGGGTGGCAAAGACGCAAGAACACCTAGGCGTTCAAAGCGCCCGCAATGCATGGACGGCCAGGAGTTCGGGGCCTTGATACAGGTGAGTGGAGAGAATCCTGGAGATCGGCATCCTTTCTCAAGATGTTGATATGGGTATGGGTCGCTCAACCGCCCTGGCCCACCATGTAGCGAGCGAACTCGCGAACTCGCGAAGGACCGGCGTCGAGCGATCCTGGTGGCATCTGGTGCCATGAGCCATCTCCATATTGAATTCCAGAAGATACGGATGACAGGTGATGAAACCGATTCTCAGGAATTTCAGGAAGCTGCAATTCTTAGCAGCGCAATTCTTCATGCACTGAGGGGAAGTACCCCATAGTGGATGAAGAACAAAGGAAATCAGGTGGCGTAATGACAACCCCCTTAACCTGCGGGCGTAAGCATGTACAAGTCTGATGCATGTTTGGTTGTTGCCACGTGCAGACCGTAGTGATGATGGCTTGAATCCTTCTGTGAATAGAAGAACATGAGTGCTCATCAGGGCTCATCAATTAGGCGGGTCATTCCTTGACAAACTCCACCAGTTCTATGACTTGCGTATATACCATTCCCTGTAACAGTGGATGATGATGGCGGTTCAGTTGCAGGCCAACATCATTAAAAGAGTGTCGTTCTTCTTTACCGACTGTTGCAGGCCATGGGAAATGTATGACACAAAAAAGAGCTCTTGCTGAGTTCGAAAGGAACCAAAACTCCCACCACCATGCCAAAGAGGCATTGAAGATAGCCATTCTCTAAAGATAGCCCATGTGCTGTTTCGGAGCAGAGGTACCAGCTCCCACCGGTCGATCGGTGGTCTTGGGTCAAAGACCCAGTCGCTAACCGCGAACGTGCACGAAGCAAGCGGTCGTTTTCTGAAGCCACACTGACCAAAATGTAGGAAAAACAACACTTCCAAACAAAATATGCAAATCAATGTTTTTTCTGCTGAGAGAACAACCTTGGGGACACTTGGGGACCCAAGGTAGAGATCTCCTTCTTTTTGGGCCCTGTCCCCCAAAAGGCTGCGGTCTCCTCACCCGGTTTGATCACAGCAGTGTCTCCACCAATGGTCCAAAGAACGTGTGTACACCCGCAAAAAGACCCACATCGACCCTGAAAATGTACCTTTTGGAATCTTTTGGATGACGAATCACATCTAAATCACTAATCTTCCTCTGCAACTGCAGTGGTTTTCAGTTTCCATGTGGGTCTCTTCCAGAGCAAAGTCGTTCAACGCAATCCCCCCACCGAGCTCCCCGTCATCCCACCCGAGCGCTGCTCTCCCTCCCAGCGCCGTCCGTGCGCATGGCATCCGCGGAAGACGACGTCAGGAGAACCAGCGAGCGGGTCCAGTGAGCTCCTGTTTTCGCGAAGTCCGACCGGGGGGGAGGTGGAATCTGAGTCGGTCAAACAAAGGATCTGTGTCGGGTCATTTTCCTAGATTTCCTCTATGGAAACCTGTTGTTTGGTGGTGGGAACATGGAGAAAGATTATAGTCTGCTTAGAAGAAAAAGGTAAAGAATGTCATCGTCGTGTGATCACTTTGCAGGATATTTCGGAGTTTAGTACATGTTTACATTGGCAGAGGAACCTCTACTCGTCACTTGCACTTGCACTCACCTCTAGTAGTAGTACTCCGCACTTATCTGTGCACAAGTCGGCTTCGGTAGGGCAGGTGGACTTTCCCTGTAGAGATCTTCTTGTATAGAACAAACTCGACCGGGTCAAAAACATCTAGATCGCATGTTGAAGAGCGATCATGGTTCCCGAAAAACATGAACTCTTGCCGTTGTTTGTTGCATTTCTTTCAGCATATCATATGGTCTGTGCCAGTTTCCTGTACATATTGCCCGTCGACGACCATCCAAGCACACTTCAAGATGAGGCCTGTGCATCTACCCATCATCCAAAAAAAGGGCGAACTGGTTGCGCGAACTGGTTGGGGGGCCCGAGGAAAGACGAGTGAACACCTGTACGAAAGACCCCGGGAATCATGGTTTCGTGGAGGGAACACCACCAGTTTGGTCTTCGGATTTCATGGTCATCCGGATCCGTCTACGAATTGGGGGATTGGGTTGTCTCATGTGGTCTCATTACCTCTTGGCGCAGCTCGTGATAGCTTTGGCCCATCACGAAACACGGACAGTCATGTTGCCAAAGCCTGATCTACCTTATGGAGTGGTAATTGTGGTGTTTTGGGTGGTATCAATCATATCATCAACTGGTGCTCCAAACTGAGTAAGAAGCTCCAAACTGATCACTCCTATCAGTAACAAGCTCCGAACTTAGTAGGGCAATTTGCGCGAAGAACCTGCACCTCCTGGGCTAGTCACCAGCCCGCAGCAGCTCGGGTCGCTCGCGCCGTCGCGCGCGCGGCATCACCACGCGGCGCCTCGCGCCAGCGCGCTGAGGACGCTGTTGGCCGTGGTCTGGCTGCGTGGCAGCGTGGTCTGGCAACGAGAGTGAGGCAAGGTCTGGCAAGGTCTGGCAAGGTCTGGCAGCTGGGAATGAATCAATCGGAGGGGTCCAACATGGCCTAACTTGAGGTGTTGTCTTGTAGAGTTGATCTCAAAGTCTTGAAAAGAACAACTTGGGGATGGGAGTGGTATGTGAATGGTCTGACTCCTCGTGCCCATCTTCCGTACCCGTGAGTGAGAGGGTACGGACCGTACGGACCGCACGTGCGGATCGGATCGTCGAACGGTTCTGGCGGTGGTCGTGCTTCGACCAATCCCTGGGAGTCCAGTCGACTCATAAGAAGAATGGTCTGACCAACGGGGAACTGAGTGAAAGGGAAGGTCCGAACTACTTCAGCCGGTTCAGACATCTCGTCGAACTGGACGACTTCGTTCGGGTTCTCCGACCTAAAGAAACATGGGACACATCAGGGAACTGGACTTCTGGCACCATATCAGGTCCCCAATTCTTCGCTTCTACTGCCCCTGTTCACTTCCCCTTCTTTGTTGGATAGATGACATAGCGAGCGATGGAGGCGAAGTGCCACGAAACGCGGCGAAGTGTCATGGCTCCCAGCCTCAGCAGCATGGCTCCAAAGCCGCAAGGAATGCCTCCGTTACGGCGTGGCGGTGGGGTTCTCGCACCGAACCAGCTGATTCGAGGTCCAGCGGTTATCTGTTCATGAAACCCTTAAAATGAAGTGTTATGTCCAGAGTCCAAACAAGTCCCAAAACTATATATTGTAGTTCATTACCTATGTACCCCAAAAATTATCCCTGCTCGAAGTACATGAAAAGCACCTAGCTGCCAGTGCAGGGAACTGGATGGGCAGGGCACGCTGGCGGCACAGAATGCGTGGAAATCACTGGTGTCAAGCCAATGAAATGTTCTCTCTACTGGACATGATATACAAAGACATATATCTATACAGTGTGATGACAAATCCGTTCCCTTTGACCCTTGGGTTCCCCAAAATTGATTGCTCTAAAAGCAGCCTCCACCTTTGACTCTTGAGCGAGGCAGGTCTACTGAGTGACTATCTCCGTGCCCCAACATGTCATGCTGTTTGAACCTCTGGAACATCTTGATCCCTTACATGTTGATCCAAAACCGCTCAAATCTTCTTCTTCCAACCTCCACTTGCTGGCGCGATCACAGCGGGCCGCTGCCGTGCCCAGCGACACCGCGCTCGGGCGGAGCGCGCGCGGGGTCGCAATCTCGAGGTGGCGTAAGAGGGGCAGGGCCAGGTGCCAGATGGCCTGGAAGGATGTGGATTGTGGCTGTGGGTCAAAATCGGGAGTAGGCTGGAGGCCTTGGCCTTTCTAGGTTGGAGGCCGTTGCTATTAGAGGCCGTGTGTCTGGTGACCTTCTGACCCTCTGGTCGTCTTTTTGTTTTTGTCCAGGGAGTTGAGTGTCTGGTCGTCTGTTCGTCCTTTTTTTTTTGCGACCGTCTGACCCTCTGGTCGTCTGACCCTCAATCATCCCTGCAAGTCACATGGCACTCCAGAGATGCATTTGCCCGTCCACACGGTCCACCCGGAGAGCTTCCTTTTGAAACCACCGGGTTCCTCGAGCTGTCTTAGGAGCGGTTTCAGGGACAGCGCGACACCGACACCTTTTTTTTCTCACTCTGGGAGATGTTTGGTGAAGATCACCCAGATAACCCAGAAATAGCTGCAGAGAATTACCTCTTGTTATTAATTACTCTATTTATCTCTGTTTTGTGTTCAAACAAATTGTAAAGATCACCCAGAAACAAAAAAAACGTCATGGAACTCCACACGTTGAGCACACCGAACATCTGAGCGACCTGAAGGCCGGCCTTCTTGATAAAGGAAAACCATATCATGTGAATCCATGTGAGGCAAACCCCTCTGGGGACATGACCCAGGGTGAGAACCAACCCAGTGATGCTCACCCAGTGATGTGGCGGCAGGTTCCTCAACAGCCGGCGACCTACAGAAAAAGTCTGGATGGCTTTTCCTCTACAGAAAGTGGATGCAAGGCCAATTTATCGGTGGGGGACTTCATTCAAACAGCTCTTCATGGCCAGTGCTGTACGGCTCTTCCAGAAAGAAAGTCCACAGATCCTCTGAGAAGAGGGCGAAAGAACCAAAGGGGCCCTCCAGCCACATCTGCCAAGAAGGTCACATCCCCGAAATCTCATGTCCAAAACGCGGGATCTCCAGGGCTCTTGAACAAATCGTTGATAGATGTTTACAGTCCTTGATAGTTCTGGACACCAAAATCACGGCCACAAACCAAGCGTCCAAGCCTTGCGAATCAGTGAGGAAAAAACACACCACAGCTGGTCAGCCGGCCATGAGTAGCTCGGGAAGCTTCGGGGAGTTCATCGACCTATCCTTTACTAGAACTCTGTGAGTGCTGGACTGCTAGACTTCTGAAGGATGAAAACCGAGGATGAAGAGTTGTGAGTGGTTCCGAATGAATGGAAACAGGATGAGTCGGCTACATCCAGCGACTCCATCTGCTGGAGGCTCCGCAGGAGTCCGAAACCCTCCAAATGTCAGGACAAACGTCTCTTTCCTCTAAGAGCCGTGACCCTCTCACCAGCTTGCAAGACCTTCGACGGAACTGGAACCTTCTCTTCTTCTGATGTGTGTAAACCTTCCAGGATAAAACCCACTGAAAGGATCGGAACATAGACCAGTCCTACCCCGTGTTCAAGGGGTGTCACCCGCCGCAGACACGCGACACTCCACCTGCGCCATGACCACATTGACCAGCTGCACATCGGGAAGAACCTCTCGTTGCCGGGCCTCGCCGGGAGGCAGTCAACTGCACGGTCATGGGAGTTACACAAGTCACCCACAAGGTCTTTAGGAAAGACGTAGTGCGCTCTGCGCACGCGCTGTGCGCACGACTCTGGTCTTGGTTCTCTCCACTGGGCTCCAAAACAAGGAAGCAAAACGCCATCGTTCTCCAACCAGGGATTCACCCAGTGCCGGACATCATATGGCTAGTAGAAACAAGAAGCTACTAGTAACAGGTGCATCGCTTCTAGTAACAAGAAGCTAGTAGAAACCCTATAAAAATTAGAATTTAACTATATAGTGTGTCTGCCTCACTGGACACGCACCTCTTCGAGCACGTGGAGCTTGCGCAGCCACCGGCGATCGGCGCGGCCACCGGCGATCTGCGTCAAAAGGAGCAGATCCGCCTGACCGTTGGCGAAAACGGCCCGTCAACGGCGGTGTTTGGTGGATTGGTTGGGAGATGTTGGGTGATCCAATGGTCGAAAAGCACGATGTTCTATGGTGATCCATGGTGATCCAAGGTGCATGTCCCAGACACTCCGTGTATGCCATATCCATATATGCCTACATTGACCCCCAAAACCACCCCAATGTAGGCAAATATGGCAGTCCCATGGAGTGTCTGGGTGTAGTTCTGCCTCCCTTGGTCCTCAATTTGGAAGTCCATCAGCGTCAATGAGAAGAGTCTTGCTCGTCTGGACCCGTTCCCCGTTCGCTGGGGTCTTGACCCGGGTTTTGGACCCCAAGCATCTGGGAGCCAAAACATGTCCCAAGCAGGAACAGGAAAAGATGTGTAAGAATGTGTAAGATAGAGCAAGCCCTGAGCAAGCCCTTGTCATTTCGAGCCTTTTGCACACCGCCAGCTGAAGAGCAACCTGTTGGGGGAACTCAAGAGTTGAACCGGTTCAGCATACATTCCTTGGCAGATGCACTCGTCAGCGGAGGGCCGGGATGTGACCCTGATGCGCTCAGCCATTCAGAAACCCGCAGAGAAGTGCGCACGCTTGGAAATCACGAGCGCAAACACGTCGTGGCGCTACTCCGCCAGCGGGCACCAGCGGGCACCAGCGGGAAAGCAGAGGCACGGACCAGCCCTGCAATGACAAAGTGTCTAACGTCTGCTACTAAATTGGGTGTGGTCACATGTGTCCAGGGGTGCAGCCCTGAAAGGTAACATTTACAATCTGAGTCACGAGTTGGAGACAGTTGCACTTGCCAAACAGCTGCAGCTCTGAAAGGTAGCATTGCCAATCTGAGTCACTGAATTGGAGATGGTCACATTTGCCAAAGCTCTGCAATTCCTGACTGAGTTGGGAATCGTCACACTTGCCAAAGAGGAGCAGTTCAAAAAGGCTTCAAAGCCAATGCGGGTCGCAGAGTCAGGGATGGCGACCTTTGCCAAAGAGCTGCAGCTTGCGAAGGCATCATTCCCAATGCGCGTCACTGAGTTGGATAGCTACATTTGCTAAAGAGCTGCAGCCATGAAAGGTAGCATGTCCAATCTGCGTCACTGACTCCGGTATCGTCATACTTGCCAAAGAGCTGCAGCCCTCAAAAGCACCAATCCCAATGTGGGTCACTCGGTCTGGTATGGTCACACTTGTCAAAGAACTGCACCCCTGAAAGGTTTGATTTCCAATCTGGGTCACTGAGTTGGGGATGGTCACACTTGCCAAAGCTCTGCAATTCCTGAAGGCAGAATCCCCAAAGCGGGTCACTGAGTTGGGGATCATCGCATTGGCCAAAGAGGAACAGTTCAAAAGGCTTCATGGCCAATGCGGGTCACAGAGTCAGAGATGGTCACACTTCCCAAAGATTCGGAGTCTTTGAAAGCCCGCTGAAGAATTTCAGCGGCAGTGCTGGGGATTTGAACTACTAGAGACTCCAGGTGAATCTCATGGCGAAGTAGGGCCAACTCGCGGCTAAACTGTCACATCTCACGGTGTTTTGGTTGAAAACTACAGTCACATCTGCTGGAGAAAGGCCTGCATCTGCTGCTGTCTCATCGTTCTTCAGCTATCGATGAAGCGCCCCGCGTCGTTCTCCCATGTCCACCCGCGTCGTTCTGCCTATGAGTTCCCAAGGCTGGCATTCTTTGATCTTTGCCGTGAGTTCCCGTCCCATGTCAGGCAAGACTTCTAGAACCATCGCTTCACCATTCTGCAGAAAATGATACCTTCGCCATGGCAATCGCGAAGAATCCAGATGCAGAGACGTCTCGAAGAACTCCAGAATCGATCTCTTCAACGCTTCTTGGTCACTACTTGAGACAGAAAGGGGTCAAGCTGTGGCCTTTGGACATCTGTTTGCTCCATTTGGGATCCCACAAATGACAGGCACCATGAAACGGGTTTTTTCCTTCACTATATTTGGCCCCAAGCCACTCAGCCGGAACCTCCCAGGCAGCGGTTAAGAGCGGCCAAAAGGGGCAACTGGTCATCCCATGAACTGATCATGTTTAAAGAACATATCCGGCGAAGGGTCCAAGAAGTCGTGGGGGTGATCTAGGATCTGTCTATATGTTATATATAGTGAAATCAGAAGTGTATCCTGTTTATGTTATCCTCATACTGTTTCTGGGGTGTTTCTTCTGATTGAAAAACACCATCTCCTTTAGGCCCCCAGACGTTCGTTTCGGGTCGGGTCGGCTTCTTCCGCTTCGCCTGCAGCCCATCTCTCCTCAACAGCTCCAGCGAGGGCACCTACGTGCCACGTGGCGCGCTGGGGCAGAGTGGCGGGTGCTACGTGGGGAGGGCGAAACCAAGTGGCTGCACGGTGCTGGATGGCTGGGATGTTGTGGGCATTTCTGAGACTTCCCTTCTTTGCAAAGCACCCTTTCTTTCTTGGTCACCGTCCAGATCCTGCAGACCCCTTCGAATCCATCGGAGATGACATGGAAGCTTCTCCACTCAAAGCCAGTTCTCCACTCGGGGCGAGCCGTGCACCACTGTGAAGGCCATCGCTAGTGGTCCTTGGAGCCGAATGCCGGCCCAAGAAAGGCTGGAGCCCATCGCTATTAGTTTAGTTAAGTGTCCCTAAAAATCTGGGAACATCTAGGAACCAAATCACAAGAAGTTCCCGGTGCCCTGCGGTGCCCTGCGGCGCCGCTGGCCCAGCTTTTTCCGGCTCACGACGATCCGTGAGCCGAGCTCTCCACGACGATCCACACCCCCGCCCACCCGCCTGGGCCCCCGAGGTCGGGCGCATCCGCGGAAACCATGGCGGCGAACCAGGGCGGCAGCGGCCGACGGTTCGACAGGGGTGGAGACCCAGGGGGGGCTCTGGGCTACGGATGAAGACCTACATGGTTTGACGGCATCATACTAAGATCAAAACTCTGGAAGAGACCTACATACATGGTTTAGACGAGTGGTGCTTTTCCAAACACCGTGGTGTTCCCTCGATGTGCTTCCTCTATCGACGAAGTGCTCTGAGGCCCTCTGCTTCTGAAGACGGGATCCACTTAGTCAAAGGACCTAGTCACCTAGTCCTTCTCGATGTTTTTTTTGTATTGGACACCGGGATGTTTGTGGCTGCACGTTTCGTCGCAAAGGCTTCAGTCATCAAGACAGAGGGTGGCGGTAGCTGTGGGTCATGGCACCAGAAGACCTTGGGCGTTCCGGCTTTTACGACACCCATCCCCAGAAAAGCTTGCACATCTGGTCTCATGTGAATCGAGCCCAAGGGTCCCTTGGACCTCCTTCCACCACTTCGAAGCGTTGTCGCGGCGAACATCGGCGATTGTGTGGGTGCTGCGTCGATGTCTGCAACACTTCAGAATGGCTTGTAGTGGCTTGTAATACATCTTCGTCTCAGGTGGTGTGGTCCTTCAAACGCAATGGCTTCATCTGAGAAGCTTCTAAAAGTCATAGACTCCTTCTAGGTGGCTGCGGGGTTCGCACTGGTTGTATGTACAGCACAAAAGACATGGGCTAGCCACTACCACAGCGCTCACAATAGGGGATCTCTAGCAGTCTCAACTACCAGTTCGAGTATCAACCATTTCTGATCTTCTCAGAACTTGGGCATTAGAATGGATTGCAAGAAACGGACCAAAGACACCAAAACTGGACAGGGAATCTCATCCCCTCCAACGAAAAAAGTGGACATCCTGAAGTTATCTAATTACATGCAAGATCATGCAAGTCTATAAGTGAAGACCTCTCTAGTGGGCTGCTAAGCTACATCGTCTCATTTGCTTGTGCCCTAGATTCCTAGATTTGACCGCCGTCTCGCCCGTCCTGCCACCGTTGCTGAACCATGTTGAAGCTATTTGGAACCACCCAACTGGCTGGTTCCCGAGTCTAAAGATCACGAGATTGACTCAGACTACTTAGCATTCGCCACCCCCGCCTCCAGCGGCCTCCCCACCCGCCAGACTGCTTAGCCTTCGCCACCCCCCCACGGTCGCTACACCACCCCCCCACCCGCCCGAAGCGTCCGCGCTCGTCCTCGGCGGTGTCCGCGAAGCGGAGCTGCTGGGAGTCCTCGGTGCGTTCGGCGCGGCGTTCGCGAAGGCGATCCGGCCTTTGAGGTAGATCGGTCGATCCGCCCTCAAAGCTCAACATCAAGGTGTTCACATATCAAAACCATGTGCTTTCCTATAGGGAAAAACCAGGGTGTGTGATGGGCCGGGGGCTCTGATCCTCAAAACAGGGGATCCGCCCTAGGATCCTTAGGATCGCCAGTTTTTCATGCAGGGCAGATTCTCGTCAAGCATTTCATTCGTTGACATTGGATCAAACGAACATACCCAGACGCTCCTGGACCCTCATATGCAGGGGTCGGACCCGAATCGGGACTGGAGGGGTCTGGACCTTCTCACTAAACCCTATGGTTTGGTTCCGGACCCTGTCGGGCTGTTTTCACGGAGCGTCTGGGTACAGATTTTCTAGTAAGGAGACCCAGTAAGATTCTCTCGTACGCCGGTGGATCCCCCCAAAAAACCTCCCCGACGATGGATCCCTGACGTATTGCACTGCGTGTCTTTCTTTTCGGTCAGTCTTGGTAGCCATGTGGAATCAGCACGTTGAGGTGATCATAGGTGCTCATCGGCCTTGTGATCATGGGTATTTACCAGTAACCGTGGATGATGATGGTTCAGTTGCAGGCCTTTTTCATCTCTGCAGTAGTGATGATTTACTTGTTGACCGACGGCGGTCAACGGGAAGTTCGGACAGACCTAGTAGCCTTGCATCACCGAGCTCAATCAACCCAAGCCAAGTGCGAGTTAAGGGATCGAAATTGGATCGAATCGAAGAAATTGGAAGGAGCTACGTTCGTAGCCTTATTCTCGCTCCGTTCGTAGCGATGCAATTGGTCACGTTCGAGTCGCGTTCTTGTTCCTGTAGTAGTCATGCCAGGAGTGCCCCTAATTCGTCGCGTTCGGTGCACGGTTCGGTGGGTGCGCCGAACCAGTCCTATACCCGCTGGTTCGGTGCGACGGTAAGGGGTCCTGATAGGGGTATACGGAGCCCCTGCCCAGTAGCGTCCTACGGAATCCTATGGATGTGTAGGACGACCCCATAGGGAGACCTTGTTCATAGGGAGACCCCATCTACAGGATAGGAATCATAGTAGCATCCCATATTTGTTCATAGGGACAACGAAGAAGAGGGCAAAAAGTAGACCCCATCTGGGGGAGAGAATCGAAGCGCTGGCAGACGTCGCAAACGTCTGGGGGTTTGGGAACTTCAAAAGGCTCGAGATAAATATTGTCTCGCATCACACCGAAGAAAAGGACACCTGGCCGACTGGCCGCACCGGTTCGCACCGCACCCCGTCCGTGCGTCCCGGCCCAATCGCTGATCATGCCGTAATGGACGAACCTCGGTGGTCGGTGAAGGTGAGAGCCACGCTGTTGCAACATCAGCCGCTCGGCCCAGCAGGACGCAGTGGAAGAGGTGGGAGAGGTTCGGGGCCCATCCGAAACAGCAGAGCGGCGACGGAACGGAAGTGAACGACGAGTTTGTCACAGTGACAGCTTTCAGGTAAGATCGATCCATCCAACAAACTGATAGAGCCACACACCCACTTGGCGGTGCTAAAGGACAACCTTGGAAAGGACTACAGCTAGAAAAGGCTTACAAAAGGACGCTATGGTGGCAGTGCTTCTTGGTGTCTTCGGTTGTGGGCGAACCAAAACTGTTTTTGCACAAACCCTGTCCTTTCTTTGGACGAACAATGACCGGCACGACAACTACTATAGTGCAAAACAATTGGAAAACTATGACTTCTGTCATTCTCTTCGTGAGTTCCGATGTTCATCAAGCTCTGGCAGCCAACGTCCTGGGAAGGTGATGGGTTTTCAGATTCACAACCGGCTTCCTCGGATCCCGGTCGGCTTCCTCGACGCATCCAACGGTCCGGTCCGGTCCGTGCCCGAGGCTCGATGCGCATCCCATTGGATGCAGTCCTTCCAGAACTTCTTGCCGATGAGCACGATCTGTGACAGGCGAGTTGGACTGCGGTGCTGGTAGCTTCTTAGTTACTACAGGTGAGTGCCGATTCCCAGTAAAACGATTCCCAAGGAAGCTTCTATAGCTACTATAGTATATACTATAGTAGCTTCTTGTTCCTAGTAGTAACGTGCAGCGTTGGCGTTCGGGTGGCATCGTGCCGCTGAAAAGGCGCTGCTATAGACGCGCGTGTCATGGCTGCGCGGCCGTGTGTCATGTGTGTGCCGCGGTGCTGCCGATGCTTTGCCAGGATCTCGATCTCGTCACGATTCACCAGAGCAGGGGCTGCACAAACTGTGACATCGTCTGCAGTGCCAACCGTGACTAGTCCCCCCAACGCGGGTCAGATCTCCAGGTAGGCTGAGGTAAAGGACTGGTCCGATAACCTTCGAGGTCTGGGGTCGGCAAGCTCCCGAATCGGGTCGCAACAGCATCATGTGCAGGAATGTTGGCAAAGGGGTTCACCCTTGGTGGTTCACCCTTTGCGATACATCTCCTCAATGATTGGGTGCTTCAGTCTGAGCCTTCTTCGTTGTCCACATCGGAAGAACGAAGAACACCAGAGACCGAACCACAGCGGGTGGTTTCGAGAGACTCAAGCCTACGGCCGGAGGGCCAGGTGATGATGGCACCCAGAAACTCCATGACTCATGATGAAAAAGCCATGAACCTGAACCATGCGTCATTTTCTGTTCATTTCTTCATGCGTTGATGGAAAACCAACTCATAAGACATGAACAGAAGCCACACGGTGGAACCGAACCGAACACAGCCGACCTCCGGTGTGCGGCGGCCCGCTGAGTCCCGCGCGGGCAACTGCCGCTTGATCTTGCCGGTCTGCATGAGGGTGAGCCTGGGCGAAGCGTCTCGAAGCCGATCCTCGAAAGCAGACGTCCCATCACCACGTCCTCGTACTGGATGTCGTTGGTGGTGGTGATGCTGATGATGACGTTGATGATGTTTACCACATCGTTCACAAGCAGGCTGGGACCATGCTGAGCTGCCTCACAGGCTTTATAGAGTTCCGCTTGGTTCAGCGGTCTCTTTCTGGGTTTTCCCTGGTTTGAGTCCGCTTGGCCGCTTGGGCGTAAGTAGGTGAGATCGCCCGCAAAACGCTGGTATTCCAGCCAGGCAGGTCTCACCTCCCGTCCTAGTCCTAGTCGCCAGGCCGTTTTTGGTGTATCAATGGCGTCATGCTGGATGGAATGGGTGCAGGGTACAGGCCATCGGACCCCAAAATGACCTAAGTGTCTTAAGCTTATCATGTGCACCATGCAATTCCATGCACCACGGCCGGGTACAGACCCTCGGACCCAACCAGACATGCCGGCGCCCCGATCCTGACCGGTCCCATGAGACTCTCCAAGAGCCGCCAAGCGGCAGCTCAAACAGCTCGTCGCAGGTGCCGAAGCCACCGGGCGCCACCACCAAGCCCATGCACTGGCGGGTTCGCCGTGGCGTCACCGTTGGGTTCGGCGGGTTCGGCGGGTTCGGGGTGTGCAGCATGCCGAGCTGGGAATCACCGTTGGAGTGGCTGGAGTGGAGCCCCAAAACTCGAGATCGATCGATCTGAATGCCGCAAAAAAAGAACAGTGGTGCCCGTCCACATGTGGTGTAAGCAGAACACGGATGGGTGAGAGTCGCCGAGTGCCCTTGATCCAATTCTCAGTGCGATGCGCGGATGACGAGAAGGATCTTCCATGGCGTCCATGGCTTCGCGTTGACGTGCTCCTTACAACAAGAATAGGTATTAAGTCAGCAGGAAAAAAAGCAAGAAGAGTAGGGAAAAACTGGACGTTAAAAGAGTGATAGCGATGGCCTCCAACTTCTAAGGAATTTCTACATCGACTTTTGCTAACACTTGCTTCCCTTGTTTCAAACAAATCTGATTGGTCTTCTCCATGACCTGCATCCACTACCCTGCGGAGCTTGGAGGGCTTGGTCTTTTAGCCCTAGATTTCATCACTCAGCAAAATTCCAGTTGACTACAGTGACATGCTACTGATCCGTCCAATGCCAGTGCTGGCCTAGGCCTAGGTCTTCACTTGCCATGCCCACGATCGCTGCACAAGGAGCACCAGCACCAACCCCACGGTCTGTTACCTTAGCCGTGGAAGCGTAGACCGTCTATGTGACCCCCGGTGTTCCACCACCGCGCGCACGTGACCACCCTTCACCAAGCGTGCTGCAGAGCCTTGAAGGCCATCCAAAACTTCCGCGTGAAGAAGTAGTGGAACTCAAAACCCAAGCTCTCAGTGACCTCAGCAACGAGGGCATGGCACATGAGGACATGACGCATGATGCTGGATTGCCACAGATCCAGAACTCCTTGAAACCCCATCCCAGTGAAGGACTTTCGCATGTTTTGCCATTTCGAACACCATGACTGGGTGGACAAAGGTCGAAGATGAGCCATTGTGCGCAGGCCTTTCCCCTCAGACACAGGAGGCAATTGTGCGCGCAGCTGAAAAGGTTCAGATCGAAGGGACGGACCCCAAAAAGGATTGAGAGAGAGAGAGAGGGATGGGCCGTCTTAATTCAATGACCTCTGTTCTCTAGATTGAAGCTCCTTCCTGAACAACCCCCCCTTTTTTTACGCGACCAATGCGTTCCGGCACCCGGACCCAGCGGTTTGGTCCGGAGTGCCACCGCCGCTCCAGCGGAGCCGCCAACGGTCGAAACGTTGCGCACCGAGTTCTTCACACGATCGACCGGCATGTTCACTCTGTCTGAAGCTGTCTGTTTCTCTTCATCCCGGAGGCTGTTGTAGCTTGTAGCATATATCTGCTTTGAGGGCGAATGTTCTCACCACCTAGCTTGGGATTCAAAGGTGTTTGTCACGCAACCACAGGCCAGTGGAGCAAAAGATGCGTGTCAGGTATTCAAAAGGGCATGGTATTCAAGAGGTGCCTCTTGGCCGTTTCGGTGGTCCTGCCACGTTTGACCCACTCCACGCGGTGGACGCTCTCTATGGGTCGCCTTCACGCCTGGATTGTGGACACCGCTACCCGAGTGCCGGGTGCCAACCCTCGGACGACCACGGTGTGCCTTCCTCGACCCGGGTGCCATGTGATCGATGACTCGGGAGTGTATCCCGTGCCCAAACACTTCATGGGACTGCCATATATGCCGCCGGGGACTCAAAACCACCCATTGATGTTTGGCATATATGGCAGTCCCATTAGTCGTGTCTGGGCCTAAACTGGAGTGCCAAACATCTGACGTGAGCTTTACATGAGTTGAGAAGTAGGCATCCTTCTCGGACTGCACACCACACCCAACACCAACTGTTGCCAGCGCTGTAGCCCTGCCACTCCAAAAAGGGGGGGCTGTGTATGGTCGTGTTAGTTTGAATGCCGTGCCAGCCGCCCATCACATGTGCATCTACTCCACTGAACGGTCAAGAACACGGCAGAAGCACAGGGGGATTGGTTGCCTGGCTATCCTGTACTGGAGGTTCCTGTTCCAGTCCAGCGGGACGATTTCAGGCGTTGCGAAAGCTGATCCAGTCCAGCGCACCATCGGTGCGCTCCAAATCCACTGGGTTCGTGTGCAAGCGTGGAAAGGACCACACACCCCACAGCCCACAGCCCCAAAATACCATGTCGGAGGACACTTGGCCAGCTCCATCGCTTTGTTACGGATCAAAATCCCGCGCATGCCACTTGCAGTGATGCTTCATCCAAATACTGATCAATCGCCTCGCCCTTTGTGACGGGTGGGTCACGGTCGGTCAAGTGACAATACAGAACAGACTGTGTAAAGGAAGCGACAAAAGGTGAAGAGTTTGGAGCCACGACGCAGGCAACTCGAAAACCAACGCAGGCAACCTGATAAATCTCACCAAGAACGGCCACGATAGGTCACTATGTGGACAGGGGTTCCGTACTAAACACTCCACCCGGCCGATCGCCGTTTGCCCAGCGGCGTAGGGGTTCAAGCCGTCCTCGAAGGGCACTGAGATCCCGAAGCCTGCGAGCCCAAAGGGGGAGGGTCGGAGGGGTCGGCAGGCGACGCCCAACGTCGCTTTTGGTGGCGGCTGCTCTTCCAAGTTGAGCGTATGGTCCACTCAAACGGCCGGTCGAAGGTGATCCTACCGCCTGTGGTTCGGTCCAAAAGCTCCGGACTCAAGCCTCCCTTCGGGTCGGCACTAGTGAAGCAGGACGACTGAGCTCCCCAGAGCTTCCCCAGCCCAAACGGAGCGAAAAGCACTGCACATGTCAACGATGAATCAAACTCCCCCAGACATGGATTGTAAAGACCCTCTTCATCTGGTGGCTTGAAATATCCTTCAAACATCTTCAAACCGTCCATCCATTGGCAGGGATCTGAACCCAAAAAAAGGTCAAACTCCAATGCGCTCAGCCGTGCTTGGCCGAGGCAGTCGCACCATCCAGGCACGCAGTGCCACGAAAAAGAGAGGGAAGGAGGTCGTTGGAATGGCCCCTATGGACGCACCTCTTTGGTGATGCGCCACGGTGGGCCATGTTTTGCTGGGGCGATGTGGGGTACTTCTTGGGGGGGCCAAATCGATCGCTTCGGCAAGCTGAAGGGCTGAAGAGCGCTCCCTCTCTCCTTTCAACCTAAGAGCGATGGCCTCCAACCTAAAAGCGATGGCGTCCAACCTAATAGTTGGAATCCACCCTCTGTAGTCTTGTGGCAACACACTTCCGATGAGCCCAAAACGATGGCAAAGACGAGTTTCTTTGAGAACACAGCGCCCTGGTTTGAGGTCACCTAGGCCGAAAGGCAACTTTGACGAGCTGGTTTACATCGACGAATTTATCCGTGTTGCTGCATTTTCTGAAGTCTTGCTATCTATTTAGAGGGGGTGTTCCAGCAAGCCATGTTAGAGAGTCGGAGCTGTGGTCCCTCCCCTTCCTCCTCGCGAGAGCCACGCACGTTGGTCTCGCCTATAGACTTCCCCTTCGCTTGCGCGGCTCCCTCGTTGGCCGCCGCCATCATGCCAGGCCCTCCGCCTGTCGGTTGGTCACTACAGGCGCAGAACTGCTAGGGCTCCGGACCCATCCAGGTGGATCATCAGAGGGTTCCCTACACAATCACTATGTTGGAACTGGCGCAGAACTGCTAGATCATGACCTAGAACTCTGAGTGGCCTCTATGTTTGACCCGAAAACCACCCATCCAACTTCTCATCCAAAACAGGGGTCATGTGGGTTCCAGCTCTTCAGACCTCTAGGCGAAACCAAAGCCGCGACCGAGCGCGACCGCGCCTGTGCCCACGTGGTACTCGGGCAGGCCCTGCTTGGCGCGGTTCTGGGTCCAAAGAGTCAGCAACCTGCGGTTCCGCTGAGCTTTTTCGCACCGATGGAAGGAATTCCGATGAGCGTTTTTGGTTCCGTTCGTAGCTTCTTGTTCCGTTCGTAGCAAGAATGCTACTAGGAGTAATGCCCTTTGTTACTAGTAGCGATGCCCTTGCTCCTAGTAGCGATGCCCTTTGTTCCTAGTAGCTTCTTGTTCTTGCTGCAAAAAAACAGGTGATTTCTGGATCTCCATTGGTATACTGTCGCGATTTCTGGGCGATTTCGGGTGACTGGCGCAGCATCTGGGCCCAGTAGAAGTCTCTGGGGATCTTGTGGTGTCACCGGCTCCAAGAAGGGCTCCAAGTAGTGCTCCCTCCCGGCGTGAGGGTCATCCTCAAATAAAAAACAATACAATCATGTTGTTATTTTAGTTATTTCATTACAATGCATTGTATTGTACTACTGTATGTCTTTATGTTATCGTATGTGTTTTATACTATACTATCTTGAACTATACCATACTATTGCTAAATATGATACTGTGCCTATAGGCCATATCCGTACACTATATTGCATTTTCTAGTATTGTTTTTATACGTTTATGTCATATGAATTATATTGTTTGGGTCTGTCTATCCTAACACCTTAACAGTGGATGATGATGGTTCAGTTGCAGGCCTTGTTCAAAAATAGTGAACGGCCTCGACTGTTTTTGTGACACCTGACTGTTGCAGGTCAGTTTGGACAATCCCAACTACCCAGACACTCCATGGGACTGCCATATATGCTGCCCCATTGACCCCCAAAACCACCCCTGGCCTTTTCTCGGCAGTCCGGACTGGCAGTCCCATTAGTCGTGTTTGGGTTATATTGTAATAGGTAATAGTTGTTATATAGGTTATAATTAAATTAACTAATAGCTTCTTGTTACTACTAGTAAGGCACTTGTTACTAGTAGCGTGGCACTTGTTACTACTAGCGTGGCACTTGTTACTTGTAGTAAGGCACTTGTTTCTAATAGCAAACATGGTACTATGTTTTGGCCCATGTCGTCCGATTGGAAACCGTGTCAGATCGGAAGCTGAGTTTCGGCGTCGATCCCGCGACAGGCATTCCGGTTCACTCAGCCGGTCTGATCTGCTTACGACCAGGAGAACAGGCTTCGCTTCTTTGCTTCGACCATCTGGTAGGGCATGTTTCTTGCCCGCCCTTCACGGCGATACCGCCGCTCGGGACTGGCCGGTCACTCGGTCGGCACAGCGCCTGCATGTTTCTCGCACCACGTCGAACATGCCGACCTGCCCGCGTCGGTCGCGAAGGGCACCAGCGTCGAGTGGCAGGACTGGCAGTTCCGTCGAGAAGGCCATCTGGAGCACGCAACGTGTTGCTCCCTCATTGCAGGAGGGACTTTTGAGGTACCTTGCTACTTCCTTTTCTCAGCGGTTGTTCATGATCACCCTCCGTCATCAAATAAACGTTCAGACAAAACAAGAACAGCCTTTGAGATTCCGATCGGACGGGATTTAAGGGACCTTCCAACCAAGGGGTCTGTGTGGCCGCAATAAAATCCTGTCCAAACCTAGATCTCAGTTTGTCCAGCCTCTTGCAGAAATCCAGAAGCCTGAAGTCAGTAGGGGTTCATCAGTCAACAATGATTTTTCCCCAAACAGTTTACTGTTAGGGGTTCTCAATGCTTTAAAGAATGGTCGCCTTGGTGCTGGATGGTCTGGTCGGGTTCCCGGCCGGCTTGTCTCCCACTTCCTTTCATTTGTCTCCCAGTTCTTTTCATTTGTCTCCCAAGCTGGGTGCTTGTGGTCGGGTTCCCGGCTGGCTTGTCTCCCACTTCCT